ACACACACACACACACACACACACACACACACACACACACACACACACACACACACACACACACACACACACACACACACACACACACACACACACACACACACACACACATGCAAACACACAGATATACCCACCCCATCCATAAGACTATTAATAGTGTCCCTAGCTGCTATACCACCAATGCACAACACCTCTCGGATAACTGGGTTTTCAAGATATTTCTTAAACTTTTGAATTTGGTTTAAAGTCTGAAAGAATGAAAAATAAATATCTATAATTGATAATTTACAAAAATATCTACCCAGCAGGTTCCATTACTTAATAATAATAATAATAATAATAATAATAATATATTTATTTTAAGTCTAAACCCCATATGAATGTGTTCGTTAGACTTTACAAATATGTACATACATATAACAAGTATACAACTGGTCAAAACACGCTGTGTACAATCTCGCCTCCCTGGGGAGGATACAGCCCCGCTGCCGTATGAGGCGCTGAGTGCTATCAATCTTACAATATCGTTCTCTGCCTGAACAGGACCCTGCTTCAACCCCAAAGTGCTGAGTGCCAAGCGGGGAGACAGCAGGTACCGTTTATAAAGGACTGGTATGTCCCCGGACGGGTTTTGAACCCACGTCCTCCCGCTCCAGAGGCGGACACTCTAACCACAAGGCCATCCAATCATCATTACTTGACATGTAGTGATATTTTATGTTAACACATAATTATTTTGTTTATCTTTATTCCATTATTTATTTATTTAGAATACTACTGTCAACATTAACACTACCTACAAATTATATATATAAAGCAGAACAGCTTATAAAACCAATCATGATAAATCAAAGAACATATAACTGTGGCTAATGTAGAGCTACCACTCTGTCTCTGTCCCTTACCTGCTCTGCAAGCTCTCTGGAAGGCTGGAAAAAGGATATAAATTTTGAAGTTGAAATTAAAGGGTTCTGGCAACACAATGTTGATTGAAACTTAATCAATCTGCTAAACAATACTATGTATAAAGGAATATGACGACAGTGCACTCTGTTTTGATAGAGATCACAAGCTGATAATAAGAAAATGCAAGTCATACATGTAATTACTTATGATATCATATTCTCTCTCCACTGCATTGTTAGGGAATTAACTTGAGATCTGTTTCTACAGGAGATGGGCTGACCTAACTAAGTACCAGACTACCCTGAAGATGCCATGGAAACAATCATCAATTTGCAACTAAGGGGGAATTAATACATGTGTTTCCAGTGACGATTATTCAATCTAACAAAGGACGGCCCATTACAGCATCTGTCTGATTATGATAAGCTTGCACAGTTAACTCTATTTCCACTTACAGTAAATCCTGCATGAGAACACCACTTTCAGGTTTAAAACATTCTCAATTGACAACTTATAAATTTAGATTTCTGATCAGCCTCTCATCCACCCTCTCCAGTTGAACTATGCCCATTTCTTCCCAGAGCTACCTTCCATAATACCAGACCCTCCTATCTCCCCTATTACACCTCTGCTTGTTACGCTAATTCTTATTTTTATAATAATATTAAAATATTATTATCATTATAATACTTCTCCATAATTATTATTAATCTTATAGTTAGTTCTATTTTTTTTTTTTTTTTGAAGGTGAGCATATAATGCTAATAGTGAATTGTTTAGTGCACCTTTACAAGGATAGATAATTAATTTTTTTTTGATTTAATAAATATCTTTTAAAAATGTTTAAAATAACATCTTACCTCAATAATGATAGCTTGTGGAGCGTTTGGTGCCTGCTGAGCTGTGGCAGGGGTAGATCCTGAACATAGGGGAAAATATCACACTTTTACTTTTCAACTTTAACCAATAAATATTGTAATGATATTGGTATCTAAGTCTAGAATGGAAACTCCATGCACCAACTCTGATAATCATCATTTGTGTAAGCTTTTTCTCATGATTATTTTGAAGCTTAAATCATACTTTTTTTCACAATATCCTTTCTGACCAAGACATATGATTACTTGGGATCAGTTTATCAAGTCAATTTTTGAAGTTGAAATAAATCAATGAATTTGTTAAAAAAAAATTTTTTTCATATTTTTCTTTACCCAAACTAAATTGTGTAACAACTGGCTAAAATTAACTGTATGATAGAACAAATGCAGCATGCTTTACCCTTTTAAAAAACACAAACCTTATACCATATATTTAACTGATTAAACAACAGGGCCCAGTTTCATCAACAATGAATAGCACTATCCATTAGATAAAATATTAAGCTTCTTGGCAATTATCCTGTGGGTAAAGTAATGTTTACTTAACACTAGATACTTATTTTTGTCTCTCATATTGCTTTTCAGAATAAATGTCCAGAGAATAACAATGTTATCTAAGGGCGCATTCCCATAGATTTTAGATCAATCTATCCCTGCGGGGAGTCTCACTAGCTATATAGATTACTGTCAGATAATCCGGCTTAAATGTCTGTCCCGCCTACTGCAAGCTGTAAGGGAGTAATTAACTTTCGTGCCCGCTCGGCTGACAGCTATTTAGCGCGAACCCCCAGGGAGTTAGGTCGTTCTAGTTGGATCAATCTTAACTCTGGGAATGGGGTCTAAAAAATAGTGTTATCCATGAACCTGGGCCCAGATTAAAAAAAAAACATACCCCCTGCTCTCGACGATACCACACAGTCTCTGGGTGCTTCATCAACAGCTATATAGCCATCCTGTGTAAAAATAATACTTCTGATTCACCTTTTTATCTATCATCAGTTGAAAGACAATCTTTATAATGATGACAATGAGGACTGTTATTTTCATAATAATTACTTAGGAAAATAATGTAACATTTACTATTTAGATGACAGTGGCAAACATTCCGGGCTCTATAAAGCACATTATTTGATCTTTAAATAACTGAACAGTACATATGAAAACTATGAAAACTATGTCTTTCAAAGATTTTCAGAAAAATAATTATTGAAAAAATGCACCAACTTTGGGTGGATATGCAAAGGGAGTCTCCCCAAAATTCAGCAGGCCCTCAGCATTCTGGAGCATGAAAATTAATGCCACAATAATTATATTGAAAACAACTAGAAATATCTCAATTAATGATTACAGAAGAAAAAAACAGAACAATCCAGCAACATTTTATTACATGGAGATTTTTGAAAAGAGAAATTAAAAAAATTAATGCAACTGTCAGCAATAATAATTAAACAAATCACACACTATCTGAAAACAATCAGTAAATGTCTTAAAATTCAGATGAAGCTTTACATTCAGTGGATAAGCCTGTGCTATTTAGTGCACTGTAGTGACTGAATATTTGGATTCAAAAGACGAACTCAGTGTCAGATTTGTAAGCATTAAACCTTGGTGGGTATGGAAAAACTGTTGAAATTTCCAAGGAGCTTATTTTTTTTTAATTTCTTATACAACTATCCAACAATATAGATAAACAATTGATGATTTAGTTCATATAAATAGTACCTTTAAGCATATGGCAGCATAGAAATTTGCATTTTTCATGTTCGGAGGAATGTCGTAAGCCTTCCCAAGATCAACACCTGAAAAAGAGTATAAAAACCATATCAAAATCTCTACTACTACTGCTTAGTGTCACCTCTCCACACAAACTGCTAGTTAAATTCAAGCTAAATCTCTGCAAAAGTTTTCACATACTTATCACACCAACATCCAAATGATAATAAATCATATTGAATGTAAAGCATCAAATAAATACCACAAAAGTACCAAGAGTTTTGATTTTAAATGAAAAGTAATAATTCCATCAAAATGAATGAAAAAACCTTTCTTACCATTCTTTGACCACTTGATGGTGAAGTTATCCAAGTCCAGACAACTGCCAATGACATCATGTAAACCAAATGACTGCGAAAAAAGAAACAGATTTTGATTCTAAAAAAAAAACATATAAATATCATACATGTAATGCAAAAGAGATACTAAGTTAAATTCTACTACAATTCTGTTTAATTTTGCTGAATTAATTTATCAACATGAAGATTTTAAGAAATAAAATGGCACAGCAGGACTGCAAGTTAAAACCACTCAAAATGGCTGTAAGTCTGTCTGTGGTTTTATTCAACATCATGGTATTGATATGTACATTACTATCATTTTTTTTTTTCTTTGCTTAGCTTAGTTACCACTCTAAGCAAAATAAAAAGTTTGCAGCAATATTGCAGTAATGAGTTTGCAGAGGTTCGCAAGAAAAATTTTCTTGCTGCTAATTTGCAACCATCTTGCAGCAAATTCACAAGAAGGAATTACAATTTGTAGCAATATTGCAGTAAATTTGCAGCAGGCCTGATATTTTGCTAAAGGCATGCTTTTTATTAAATTTTTCTGTGTCTAGGCTTTACACATTTAAAAAAAAAGAGAAAGTCAACAAAGTTTCAAGGTCTTATACCAGTCTTTTTTTTCTTTTGTTAAAAAAAGGATGAGAAATGTCTTAAAAAAAAATCATAAAGCAAAATAATATTCCATGCCTTTTATGAAGATCATCCATACAAATGTAAAAAAAAATTCTAAGGCACACTTCCATACCTGCACCTCACCATTACTGCTTAAGTACTTGACCTCCACCAAACATACCTCTCCATAATTATCAAACTGTCTTCCATGAGATTTCTTCCCAGTTCCACCAAACCCAAAACTCTGGTTGTCGGTGCCCAAATCCAGTGTGGCCTTCTCTGTGGCCCAGCCTATCCTACATAGGCCCTCATCTGTGACTTTCATTTCATAGTAATATTTTCCTATAATAAATGGAAGAAGAAGAATGACAAAAATAATAATAACAAAGCTGTATTGTACAATTATAATATAATCATAAGAACATCAACAGAAATGTTAAATGAAAATATCCTGAACAACATGGAAATAACTAATAATGATATGTGAATTCTCATTTGTTTCTGGAGGTTTTGAAAAACCTTTTTCAGTAAAATGGAACTGAAACTTCTATACCGAGATACATAACAGAGCCTATGAATTCTACACCTCTTTTACACTTTTCCATAACTTTCTAATTTTTATTGTGAATTGAATCTCCTCCCAAAAGCAAGAGTGAAAACATATAAGATGATGTGTGTAATTCAAATATAACACATAGCACTGCCAAACAAACTACCACATACTGGCATCTCAACATTTTAATGCAAACAAAAAGAGACCCATCTTAAAAATTATATCAAGGCCTTTTACTAAGAGCATGCAGGGGTGGATTGAGGCCATCTTCTGGGGCTTCCAGAAGACAGTCAGATTTTCAAGTTTACTTTGATGGGTATCTTAAAAAGTGGAAGATGGATCAACAAAGATACTTTGGAGGACTGTCAGAAAACATCTAGATCTCTAAAGACGGTCAGATTTTTTAATTTACACTGACGGGTATCTAATTTTTTCTGTCAGAAGACAGTCAAACAGGGAAGATGGATCAACAAAGATAATTTGGATGACTGTCAGAAAACATCTCTGGATCTGCCTCTGGGCATGTACCTTTTCCATGCAGTCCCTTGTTGCTACGGCAGCCATGCCACCCACGCTGATCTCTGCTCTGACAGAGTAATCCTTCAGGATTAATGGCTGAGAAAAAAACAGAAATGGCGCTTGTCAGTCTCAGTATAATTACATTTTAATTTAATTACAAATACCTCCACCAAGGAAATTGTTCTTGCCTTTGTTGGTTTGTTAGTTGACCACCTAACTCAAAAAGTTATGGGTGGATTTTGATGAATTTTTTGGTATAGGTCAGAATTGGACTGACTTAAAATTGATTATAATTTGGTGGCGATACATTAAATAAATAAATAAATAAATATCAATAAATAAATAAATAAATATCAATAATCAAAATTGATTGCCCTTTGCAAAGGCTTGTGATTTCTTTAATTTACACACAAACACACACATTTATTAAGGAGAAACATTTTAGTATCTAATGGGATTGTATTTAGAAAGACTACTACCGCCCTCTACAATTTAAAAATCAAAACCTTACCCATGGCCTCTCCTCTGTCAAATACGTTCATACCCCATTTTGTACTTCCTGCAACTGCAAGGGCAGAAAAGTACAAGATTTTCATAAGATTTAAAAATACAACCTTCAAGTAAGATACACTAATAACTTGCAGCATATCTCAAAATATAGCTTAGACACATTTCTTAAATAACAAATAAGCTAATGTCTGAATGTTTCATAAATCTTAGCCTTGTTTACAATAGTAGACTAAACACAACAGACAAGGTGATATTAATAAGCAAGGACAATAAAGACCTCAAAATATCATGCGTTGGCTTAGGAAGCACTCACAACCAGCTGATTTCGAAGACTTACTAGTCTGTGGATCAAATATGACGTGCAGGGGCAGAGCAATTACCAGGTAAATCTTGGCACATGCTTTCAAGTGGGTCATATTTGATCTGCCGATCAACCGGTTGTGAATTCTTCCTTAAACCTTCACTCAGTAATACCCATTTTAGGATCTGGTCCATTATACAATTTCCATCATGAATAGCATTTGATCTTGAACAACTTTTTTTAAGTTTTTATACCATTTTAGTTCACAAGACTGAAGAGGTGAAATAGTTTCTTTTTGCTTTCACATTGGGTGTAAGAAGTTGGAAAAATATTACAAATGGGGAAAATATATTATGCACGAACCACAAGATTCTTTGGAATGGTCACTTTTTTATACTCACAAAAAATCCAATTCAAACCCACCTGCAGCTTTTCCAGCCCCTGCCTTTGCTCCCTTCCCTTCTTTTATATCTTTCAGTGTCTCATACACAATTTGGATGATTGGAAGACTAAATGCCTAATAAAGCAAATAACATACTAGATATTTTTATTAGTTTTGACATAATAAAACATGTGAAATCCTTGAAAATATTTTATAAGTATTTTTATACTTATATAATATTATTCAAATAAATTAAAATTACTGGTATCTAAATTAACCTAAAATCTATTAACATAAACAATACTATCCTATATATTTACAAAGCTATCTCACTTTTCTCTCTAATCATCAATATATAAGATCAATATATGAAATTACAAAGTGGCCAATATAACAGTAACATGAGCATCAATCCATGAGGTATTTGGTTATTAACCATAAAACAACACATTTCAAAATCCATCATCAAAATCATATAGATTGTGTTTGAGAGAGACAGTAAATTCTCTAACAAAGTTGGAAGTTCATTCCAAATGAGTAAACTTTACCCCAGTTTTTCCACTGCCAGTCTCAGCAGCCATCAGGACGTCTCCTCCGCCAAGAATTAGTGGGATAGCCTCGGCTTGGACATCTGTAGGAAGACTGGAAAACAAGGACAGGTCAGTGAGTGAGTGAATGAGAAAGTGGCTGGGTGGGTTGATGGGTAAAAAAATAGGTTGATAGGGGGCAAGTGAGTGAGTGGATATTAAAAGTGATAATAACTCTTCATTTTGGCCAAAAAATGAATTTTCCTGGAGTAAACAACAATTTTCCTATACTAACCAATGGTTAATGAATCCATTTTTACATTCAAAGTTAGTGCCTGGTTTTTTTCTAAAAAGTTTGTTTTTTGGTTAAAATCTCTTAAGAGATTTTAACAGAGTATAGCCATCAATGGAGGTCACGTGGTCTGGAGAGAAGTTCAGATATCAGAAAAAATAGCTATAACTGCCATTTTTGTGGTAAAACAGAATATATTATATTTCTATGAGTTATTCACAATGTTTTTACTGTGAAATATAGATCTCATATGAAGAGTTATTATCCCTTTAATTATAAAAGTGGGTGAGTGAGTTGTTGGGTGGGTAGGTAAGCAAGTGAATGGGTGAGTAAGTATATGGGTGGGTGAATTGTTCTAAAAATTGGGAATATTCAAAAATGACATTTTTAAAAAAAAATTAGGACTTAAAAATATCAATGCTGGAAACATAACAATTCATCAATACAGGGAACTACCCTGTGCAAATGGAAAGATTTGGCAATGGTCTACTACCATTAGGTGACAAGCATATTGATTACCTCCAATCCATCTCCTCAACTGCCTTGGCAATCTCAGGCATAACAGCCATCTCTGAAATTATATTCAAAAATGTTTGTGAATACTAAAACCAACATGTAAGTAAGTGTTAAAAATAAGCTAATATCTTACCAACAGTTTATAAGCAGTGTTCAATGCATCTATTCAATCATTAAGGTAAAGCTGTTGGTGGACCATCTCGAAATTTCAACATGTGTCCCTGACTCTTAGTAACTCTCAACCAAGATACTGTAGACAGTATTTGGAAAGGCCTTCTGTTTATACCCCCCCCCCCCCATCCACTCCTCACACAACCTAGATAATATACACTCATCATTTTAATCACCTTCAGAACTACACAAATACATAAATTAAAGTAAGCACTATAAATAGGCCACCTATGCAATATGTTTGACCCATTTCTTTGGACCTTATGATTGATGAATTAAGGCTCACCATAATAAATGATTAATAAATGTTAATTGAGGCATTGTGTATATTTATATCACTGATTTATTAATACCTCAGTAAAAATTAATAAATGATTCTGTGGGGTAAGGCTTAATATAAAAACATTGTAAAATGTCTGTTCCTTCCAATCTGCACTGCTTTGTCCATTGCTGTGTTTCATTATAGAGGACTCACAGAAAAATCTCAAAAAGGACCATTATGAGTCTAAATAGTGGAGAGAGAGAGAGGGTAGGATTAATATCACGGTAGAGCATTTTCAGTTGATATGAGAGAGAAAGAGAGATATGATATGAGCTCTTCTCTAAATACATATCATGCTGATGTTAGTAGCAACCACGCTCCATACTCCCTGGATCCCATCAAAGAGGGTCCTGGCCATTTCATGACTCATGAAAGCCACTTTTATTTCCCTGTGAACACTCCCCCTCCCCCCCCCCCCTCCCCATTTGGACCCTCATCATAGTTCAACGTGTGTGTACGAAATAGACAAGCAGGAAAATCCATGCGTTTGCACTTCTATTTACGTTTTCTTCTATTTATGTAAATAGGGGTGCTAACGCCCGTGAAAGATACAAGTGTGTTAACAGTGCCCCTAAAAGAAACCCCATAAAAAATTTACTATACGAAACAGCAAGAGGCATTTCGGTCAGTTGTGAAACTGAAGCCTGAAAGCAACATAGCCACTGGAACTATTAGTACTTAAATGGATATATAAGCAGTGAATTTACAAATCAAGCTTCCTACACGCACATATATGTTATTCAGGTTCTGTCCTATTTTACATACAGTTGTGAGTCTGATATTACCTTCGAATGCAGTCATTTTGTTGTCGTCAACTTTCGCCGGGTCTCTCTTGCTGTAGCAGCTCCTTGCACNTTTGTCAAATAATCCCCGTTAGAAGGTGCCTTTTTTTTTTTTTTTTTTTTTTTTTTTTTTTTGCTGAACGCAAATAAAACTAAACCGTGGCGTAGATGGAAAAGGATAGAGGTCAATGACCATCCCCACGTCAGCACCATTTTAAGGAACTACATGCGGAGAGAAAGGAAATATTATTGACGACGCAGACTTTTCTTTTTTAAATCGATCACTCAATCAAAAGAATATGGTTTTATTGTGCAAAAGGACCTACGAGAGGGCACATTCGTGCTGGTGACTGCACGATCGAGGGGCAAGGTCGTTGTCGTGATGAGCTGACGTGCCTCATCCGGGATTCGATTTCGTGACTTCTCGTTACCATGGTTGGTGACGCTTTGTATTGTCTTTTTTGCATCCATGCACGCTAACCGACTACACCGTGACTGGCCCGCCCACCCTCCGTACGTACGAGGTTGAGAAACAGGGACCCAATACAGGGAGGGGTGCATAAAAAGACAAAACGTACGACTGGTAAAAGCAATAGAGGCGATAAGAAATAAAACTTTTTTCTCTGATAATCCCACCGAGAATAGGCCTATAGTTCATTTTGATGAAATTGCAGTATGACAGGCAAGGCCCCATACAGGGTAAGATGTAGCTCAATTCAAGTTAGATCTGTGGCGTAGCTGGAAAAGGATAGAGATCAATGACCATTCCCACGTCAGCACCATTTTAAGGAACTTGAAGCGGAGAGAAAAGAAATATTATTGACGACGCAGACTTTATGCTAATAGGTTCTTTTCTAAATCGGTCACTCAATTAAAAGTAGCCTATATGGTTTAATTGTGCAAAAGGTAATTTGCTAGGACCCACGAGAGGGCGCATTCGTTCTGGTGACTGTCCGATCAGATCGAGGGGCAAGGTCGTTGTCGTGATGAGCTGACGTGCCTCATCCGGGATTCGAACTCGTGACTTTTCGTTACCATGGTTGGTGACGCTTTGTATTGTCTTTTTTTGCATACATGCACGCTACCGACTGCACCGTGACTGACCCACCCACCCTCCGTACGTACGCCTTTCCTTTTATAGTAATCAAAAGCAAATTTTTCAGATTATTTCTAGGACAAAAAAGTTACGTTCAACGAGCCGGGACTCGAACCCGTGTACTAACGACTAGTCATGTGCAAGGAAATGGAGTTACCACGGAGCCACGGAAGCTTCGTTGGTAAATAGTGAATCAAATGGAAACTTTCGATCTTGTCAGGGAGAGGACCAGATTAATTAAAAGTGCTAGTGTGAATGGGATACATGATGCACTAAGCCGTGTCTGAGAACCTGACACGAAGAATTCTTACACAGCTGACTTTTTTTTTTAAATTAGTTTGTTTTAATTAGTTTGTTGTATACCCAGATTTAGCTTGCCTTAACCAGTGACACTGGAGAGTTCAATGGGTTCAATCGCGACTCACAGCAGGCGGATTTTAGTTTTAGCGAGGCCCTAAGAAGCGGATACCGTAATAAAAATGTTCAAATGTACAAAAACTGGTGCGTTTTCCATTTAAGCAATTGCGGCAATGCGAATTTCGAGTAAAACATATTTGTTTATTGGAATGTATTTCTGAATTACAAGTTAAGAAAATTCACTAATTCATTAAAGACACAAAACAACTGTCACTTTTACTTTAAAATATTTTTTTTATTATTTCGATAAAGTTAGTTACAGTATTGATAAACAAAGTATCACGTTTTCAATAATTAATATTTTAAATAACAATCCATGTCTGCAAGGTTGTGTCAATGATCAAAATACAACGTTGAGTCAACGTCACATTATGACGGTGTTTTGACGTGGTTGGATCAACGTTGATTTTACGTTGAATTTAGGTAGATCAACGGCAATTCAACGTATCAACCTGTTTTCAACGCTACTATGCCTGCTGGGTCAGTCTTTTACGTACTTCACAGCTCAGTCCTTGCCGTCTGACGTGAACACTCCCAGCTCAGAAATAGCTTTCTGGTTAATTTTTAACTCTGAAAGATCACGCCATTCCTTTTGTTCCTGTTTTGCAGTGATACGTCACCCACGCGTGATCTTCATATCTTTATTTGCAGAGGGCATGCACTGCAGCAGTGCACGTGAGACGTTTATAAAGCATAAAGATAATAATAAAATTAATAAAATTAATCCTTTCTTAATCCCCAAGGTATATCCTATACAAAACTGTTGAGAAAATCACAGTCTATAAATTAAACCCGCTTTTGAGTTCTAAATTTTTGCTTTGTTACGTGAAAGATTTTGCTGTTTTGGATATTGATATTCCTTGGCCATGAGGGGAAAGTGTTGAAATCTCAAGGTAAAGTTATTATTACATGTACTACTTTATTAATTAATTAATTTGTTGATTTATTTATTATGTGTGTGATATGTAGGCCTACGTCCCATTTTACCTCTCCCACGCACCCTTAATTAATCAGTTGTTTGAACGTTGGTTTCTAAGCTTGATTTCATTCGAATGGTTTCTAATTTCTATCGGTAAGACATGTTCAATGTTGAGAAATAACCAAGGTTAATATTTTGAATTCGGTAAATCGCAATTGTCTTGGTCTATATTTAACTTGTGAACTGACCCAAATGGGGACAGCGCAGGGCATGGGTAGCTTTTGAGTTACATTTCAAAATAGAAAAAAGAGAAGAAGAAATTAGACACCCAGCGGGAACCAAAATAATATCGATGACATATTTATATGCTATTGAAAATAACCGAATGCTTCTTGAAACGGGCTATTCTGAGACGAGACATCCTAACTTTTAAAGTGTTTTTGTCCTACATTTTGACCACGACGCACATAGGCTATTGCCTTTTTACTATCGTCCTATTTATTGACCTTATTGTTTGCGTCACACTGTACATGTATATATTGCGTATATAAAACACAATGCGCCAACAGAAGACAGTGTCTTGATCACAAATCATGGCTCCAGTCAAAAGTTTGACTGTGCTCGTGCTTGTTGCGGGTCTTTGCTCCAGTTTTACATATGCCAAGCTTCCAAACATTGTGTTTATAGTTGCAGATGATTTAGGCAAGTCACATGTGTACTCGTACCTTCAAAAATGTCGAATTATATATTCAGTTAGAAGAAAATATACTATTTAATACACCAGTGCAATAGAAGCGGGGGTGCATCATATAGCTGCTGTCGATGTTTTTTGATCAAGCAAAGGTGTCGTTTTTTCTTATATATGCTTTTGATCTATTGTTACTGTTTCAGGCTTCAACGACGTGGGTTTTAACAACCCCGATATTTTGTCTCCCAACATCGATAAACTAGCCAGCGAGGGAGTGATCCTCAATCAGAGTTACGTCCACCCCTTATGTACACCGTAAGTAACACGTGCGTCAAATTTATCTTGTTGTCTTGTTTGGGACTACCCTTAAACCTAAGCTTCACAACAAATATATATATATATATATATATATATATATATATATATATATATATATCATTTCCTTGGCTAACATCTTTGTTACCAATATTACATGGACACATGCACACGTCCTACCCTATCAGGAACATTAGATTCTTTGTCAGACGGGGACCTGGTGTACATTGTTTAGCTGAGTTGCCAATATGTGACTCGGCCTCGGCTTACATGCTCATGAGAAAATGCTCACTCGTGAGAAAATGTGGTCTTTTCTTTCGCTGTGCTTGTGTAGGTTACAAGGTTACATGACCCTGACGTCTTTAAACTAAGAGAAGGAAGCATTTCATATCCACTTGGCTCATAGTCAGGAAAATTTTGTTCCCTTTTCCAGATCTAGAAGCGCCTTTTTGACAGGTCTGTATCCATGGAAGACGGGCTTGCAACACATGGTTATATTTCCGCTGCAGCCGGTGTGTGCTCNAAGCTCGAATTTAAAGATGAGCCCTTAAAGATAAAACACAAACAGTTCAAAATCAATTATCTAAATAGGCCTATGTTAGGTAGGTTTTAGCAACCTTTGCAGCCGGAAAAAGTCTATGGCTCCTTAACATGTTTTTAAATACTAGGCCTACTCATATCTAAAACATATTTGTCAAATAATTTCGCCTAGAAGATGTCATTTTTTTCTGCTGAACGCAAATAAAACTAAACCGTGGCGTAGATGGAAATGGATAGGCCTAGAGATCAATGACCATCCCCACGTCAGCACCATTTTAAGGAACTAAATGCGGAGAGAAAGGAAATATTATTGACGACGCAGACTTTTCTTTTTTTAAATCGATCACTCAATCAAAGGAATATGGTTTTATTGTGCAAAAGGTAATTTGCTAGGACCCACGAGAGGCCGCATTCGTGCTGGTGACTGCACGATCGAGGGGCAAGGTCGTTGTCGTGATGAGCTGACGTGCCTCATCCGGGATTCGAACTCGTGACCTCTCGTTCCCATGGTTGGTGACGCCTTGTATTGTCTTTTTTACATCCATGATTGTCTTTTTTACATCCATGCACGCTACCGACTGCACCGTGACTGACCCGCCCACCCTCCCTACGTACGCGGTTCCTCTTATAGTAATCAAAAGCAACTTTTACAGATTATTTTTTGGGACAAAAATGTTAAGTTTAACGAGCTGGGACTCGAACCAGGGCACAAACGTCTTCTCATGTACTAGGAAACGGAATTACCACGAAGCCACGAAAGCTTCGTTGGTAGAAGTGAATCAAATGGAAACTTTCTATCTTGTCAGGGAGAGGACCAGTTTGGACGCACATGTATATATCTGCTATTGCAATCGATAATCCTGGTGCCCTATTTCATACCGCGCAACCCAAGTCCCCGACCATTAGGCTATCCACATTAGAACGTTAACCGCGATAGGACCGAGGTCAGGCCTTGACCGCGGTTAAAAGTGCTAGTGTGAATGGGGAACATGGTGCACTAAGCCGTGTCTGAGAACCCGACACGAAGAATTCTTACAGAGCTGACTTTTTTTTAAATTAGTTTGTTTTAATTAGTTTGTTATATACCCAGATTTAGCTTGCCTTAACCAGTGACACTGGAGAGTTCAATGGGTTCAATCGCGGCTCACAGCAGGCGGGTTTTAGTTTTAGCGAGGCCCTAAGAAGCGGATACCGTAATAAAAACGTTCAAATGTACAAAAACTGGTGCGTTTTCCATTTAAGCAATTGCGGCAATGCGAATTTCGAGTAAAACATATTTGTTTATTGGAATGTATTTCTGAATAACAAGGTAAGAAAATTCACTAATTCATTAAAGACACAAAACAACTGTCACTTTTACTTTAAAACACTTTTTTATTATTTCGATAAAGTTAGTTACAGTATTGATAAACAAAGTATCAGTATCACGTTTTCAATAATTAATATTTTAAATAACAATCCATGTCTGCAAGGTTGTGTCAATGATCAAAATACAACGTTGAGTCAACGTCACATTATGACGGTGTTTTGACGTGGTTGGATCAACGTTTATTTTACGTTGAATTTAGGTAGATCAATTCAACGTAACAGCCTGTTTTCAACGTTGATCCAACGCGACTATGCTTGCTGGGTTAGTCTTTTAGGTACTTCACAGCTCAGTCCTTGCCGTCTGACGTGAACACTCCCAGCTCAGAAATAGATTTCTGGTTAATTTTTAACTCTGAAAGATCAAGCCATTCCTTTTGTTCCTGTTTTGCAGTGATACGTCACCCACGCGTGATCTTCATATCTTTATTTGCAGAGGGCATGCAGTGCACGTGAGACGTTTATAAAGCATCATAATAATAATAATAATAATAATAATAATAATAATAATAATCCTTTCTTAATCCCCAAGGTATATCCTATGCAAAACTGCTGAGAAAATCACAGTCTATAAATAAAACCCGCTTTTGAGTTCTAAATTTTTGCTTTGTTACGTGAAAGATTTTACTGTTTTGGATAATGATATTCCTTGGCCATGAGGGGAAAGTGTTGAAATCTCAAGGTAAAGTTATTATTACATGTACTACTTTATTAATTAATTAATTTGTTGCTTTATTTATTATGTGTGTGATATATACGTCCCACTTTACCTCTCCCACGCACCCTTAATTAATCAGTTGTTTGAACGTTGGTTTCTAAGCTTGATTTCATTCGAATGATTTCTAATTTCTATCGGTAAGACATGTACAATGTTGAGAAATAACCAAGGTTAATATTTTGAATTCGGTAAATCGCAATTGTCTTGGTCTATATTTAACTTGTGAACTGACCCAAATGGGGACAGCGCAGGGAAAAATAGAAAAAAAAGAAAAGAAGAAATAAGACACCCAGCGGGAACCAAAATAATATCGATGACATATTTATATGCTATTGAAAATAATCGACTGCTTCTTGAAACGGGCGATTCTGAGACGAGGCATCCTAACTTTTAAAGTGTTTTTGTCCTATATTTTGACCACGACTCACATAGGCTATTGCCTTTTTATTATCGTCCTATTTATTGACCTTATTGTTTGCGTCACACTGTATATATAGCGTATATAAAACACAATGCGCCAACAGAAGACAGTGTCTTGGTCACAAATCATGGCTCCAGACAAAAGTTTGACTGTGCTCGTGCTTGTTGCGGGTCTTTGCTCGAGTTTTACATATGCCAAGCTTCCCAACATTGTGTTTATAGTTGCAGATGATTTAGGCAAGTCAAATGTGTACTCGTACCTTCAAAAATGTCGAATTTTATATTCAGTTAGAAGAAAATATACTATTTAATGCACCAGTGCAATAGAAGCGGGGGTGCATCATATAGCTGCTGTCGATGTTTTTTTATCAAGCAAAGGTGTCGTTTTTACTTATATATGCTTTTGATCTATTGTTACTGTTTCAGGCTTCAACGACGTGGGTTTTAACAACCCCGATATTTTGTCTCCCAACATCGATAAACTAGCCAGCGAGGGAGTGATCCTCAATCAGAGTTACGTCCACCCCTTATGTACACCGTAAGTAACACGTGCGTCAAATTTATCTTGTTGTCTTGTTTGGGACTACCCTTAAACCTAAACTTCACACACACACACACACACACACACATACACACACATATATATATATATATATATATATATATATATATATATATATATATATAATATGATAAAATAAATTAATCATTTCCTTGGCTAACATCTTTGTTACCAACATTACATGGACACATGCACACGTCCTACCCTATCAGGAACATCCTAGCCAGGAACTAAGAATTAAAGATTCTTTGTGAGACGGGGACCTGGTGTACATTGTTTAGCTGAGTTGCCAATACGTGACTCGGCCTCGGCTTACATGCTCATGAGAAAATGCTCACTCATGAGAAAATGTGGTCTTTTCTTTCGCTGTGTTTGTGTAGGTTACAAGGTTACATGACTCTGACGTCTTTAAACTAAGAGAAGGAAGCATTTCATATCCACTTGGCTCATAGTCAGGAAAATTTTGTTCCCTTTTCCAGATCTAGAAGCGCCTTTTTGACAGGTCTGTATCCATGGAAGACGGGCTTGCAACACATGGTTATATTTCCGCTGCAGCCGGCATGTGCTCCATATAATGTCACTCTCCTGCCAGAGGTGCTCAAAGAACAAGGCTATGCAACACATATAATTGGAAAGTAAGTTTTTTTTTGTTTACAACTATGTCTTTATTGTATAATTCCAATATTATTGCAGTCATTTTTTTTTTTTTTTTTGGGGGGGGGGCGTACATGTAGTTGGGAGATGGAGTCTCTTTCCACCATGCGATTTCCGTGGCAGTCCGAAAATGGAGGGCACAAGCCTGACCGGGTGTTGAGTTGGTTGAGCGCTTGTCAGATTTAACTGTTCTGACACTATACTGAAGTCCGTTATATTATTTGCATAATCTACAAATATAACATCTATATCCTAGTTTTAGCTTTTTCGTAATCATTCACTGATATAATCAAAAGGAATCATAAACATGTATTTGGTCTTTTTTAGTTTGATTTGAAGTTAGTTAGGCGTTATATCCATCAGCTGATTTTTTTCTATTAACAAAAGATGGCATCTCGGCTTCTGCAACTGGAACTGCACACCAACCTACCGCGGTTTTGACAGTTTCTTCGGCTTTTACAACGGAAGGGAAGATTACTATGCTCATACATTAGGTGAGCTTTATTACCGCCTTCTGTTCTGCTTGCTAACAGAGGCTAAGAACACAATTATTATAAACAAATAATAATACGTTTATTTGGAAAACTATCCGTTTAAGACTGGGTCAGGGATCCAATGTGGCGCATCCTTGTGTACAAAACAGCGACAATAATATTTTCAAGTTAAACTTTAAAAAAATCATACATGTGTGTAAATGATCTTAAACATTTAAAATATATATCAGTTGTTTATGTGACGCTTTTTTAAAATCGCACTTTTGTTTATTTATGCACTATCAAACTGAAAAAAAAAAAAAAACACGCCAAGGAAAATTAACATGGACAACTGCGCAAGATTTATAACATAACGAAGATGGTTCAAATAATCTTACTTTACTCAAACTTCTTGCACTGTGTTATTTGAAGGTGTTAACGCGTTGGACTTACGTGACGACGAAAAGCCTGACCGGTTTGATGGTGGAATCTACTCAGCGGTAAGACTGGTCACAACATTTATAGCAGTATATAAACTATGACGTTCAAGGAAATGCTATTTTTATTCGAGTATTTTATTTATGTAGGTATGCAATTTTTATGAACCAATACTAAATGTGCATGTATACCTCGGATGTGAAAAGGTCATAACAATAATAATAATAATTATAATTATAATAGTTATTTTGAGTCTTAAATCCAAATTTGTTCAGAAGACTTTATGCCAAGGAATATTGTCAAAATATATAAATCTGAACCTCATAAAATGCATTTACGTACATGTATCGACAGCTTATTTTCGCACGCTTTAACAATGCCTCGATTATCAGACATTATACCATGTATGCATGTATGCTGGCATGTCACTCTATTCCTCTTGTCATTTAGGAGCTGTTCGCCAAGAGAGCCAAGCGCATTATCACCAACCACGACAAGAGCAGACCTCTCTTTTTGTACTTGCCTTTCCAGAATGTGCACTCTCCAGTACAGGTGAGCATTTACAGACTTGACATTTAATATGGAATATTTTTTTCCAAATCATTTTTCATCAGTTTTTTCCTATTTTGCTGACTAATAAGTGAAAATAAGGATTAAAATCATGTTTTAATAACTTTTAATTATCTCTTTGATGTCATTGTGACATCAGTTCATTAATGGAATTCGTCAGAGAAGCAAACAAAAACACTTTGCCTATTCTATGTCATACGACAACCATTAAAAGAGGTATTTTGGATCTCCATATTTTCCAAATTATTGTCTGTAAAAGAATTACACGCTCTACAAAGGACCCTCATGTCAGTGACTAGTCACAGTAAATGTCGCTGTAACGCCTGACCTCTTTGGCTGCTACCAGCGCTCTCAAGTGGCAAGGCATTCCTTGGGATAGGTTTTTAAAGTTCAATCTGGAATGACATTCCAGGCATCGGTCAAAATCTGTCCAATTTGCTCCAGTTTTGTTGTAGGACATGTAGGCCATTGATTCGGCGAGTAATGGCTTGCCCACATATTGTCTCTGTGGTTTAAATATTGCGATTTTGATTACCAAGGTAGCTGCTTATTGCTTTGGTTTTGTAAGTAATCTGCTATTAAAAGTGCTCTGTGTGCACCGGCAATCTTACTGCGCAACCTAAAATTGTTCCTAAGTTGCCCCCTATCAAATGATAGCCAAGTGGTTCCCAGATTTTTTTTTATCTGGTTCAGGTTTTCGTCGATGACTACCATTGGTGTGTTGGTACCAATGTGGTATCCACTCCAAATACTGACGCTGTTAATGACCTTAGTCACTTTAGACGCGGCACACGCTTCGTCGTTCGCCTATTCTGGATGTCTGTAAACTCTGTTTTGACTGTTGAGCGGTACAGGTGTAATCTGACCTCAATAAAGATTTCAATGTTTAACCCAGAAACATTCAAGGTCCCCAATTCATTAGAGAAACATACAGCGATGTTTTGCTGTTTACAGTGGGTTCCTCGGAGGTCGTCTGATATTCTAACCTGCTAAAACCAGTTTGGTGTTCGCTAAGGGCCTTGAAAAAAATGCGTTTTAGTGGCAATTTACCCCTCATTTTGAACGGACTGGGTGGTTTTTGTTCAGTTGCAACTGCATATCCCGAAAGACAGTGGGTCCTGTACCCTGGTGGTAAGTTTTCAACACATAGGGTGTGGCCTCTGTGTAGGTACATCGGTCTGGGCATTACTCCATAAAACTGTGCTGACCGTTTCGTTTGGCGCAATTATCTGTCTGGCAATGTCTGTCTTTTTCGCGCCATTCTGCCACAGATTAACAAATTTGTAAAGCACTGCATAGCTCATTTTACACACTGCACACCCGACCACTTGCATACAAAATTTCAAATTCTTCTATGCAGTAGTTGCCGACATATGGATACTTTTTTGACAGAACCATGCTTTACCAAAGCCAAGCTTTGACCTGCCCAAAGGAGAACTACCCAATTAAATCACTGCATATGACATAATGCAGCAGCGCAACAAACCTGGTATTCAGTTAGTTGGTAGCGACACACCTGACTACACACTTTTCCATTCACACATCTTATATGGAATCGGAGTTTGTGAAAAAAGAACGCATTTTCACCTAGGCATACCTTCGAAAATGAAATGTCAAGTCGGTACTAATGATTTATACACTTAGAATTTTCAGTATGTTAAGATATATATTACATATGGGCGTTAAAGAATATACGATGGATCTCATATCTTTTCACAAAAGTTTACATCACATTTCCACGTAAGTGGTTTGATGGTGAAGTACTTTATTTTAGGTACATTTTAAAACTATTTTGCCTTTTTTTGTTAGGTCCCACACCGCTATTCAAACATGTATGCTCATATTCAAGATGAAACCAGAAGAAACTTTTCTGGTACGTTCAGTATGTTGAATTATTCTGTGTGAATTAAACGGCAAATATGTAAACTATAGAAAATTACATTTTCACAGCAAAAAATGACATTTGACATTTAATATTAAATATGCCCCATTTGCCATTGTTCTACATTGCTCTTTTTCTGCCAGTTTCTGTAAACTTAAAGTCATTGTATGGCAGGTATGGTAAGTGCTATGGATGAAGCAATTGGAAACATCACAACTGCACTCAAAGAAGCTGGACTCTATGACAACACTCTGATAGCTTTTACGTCTGATGTGAGTATTCGTATACCAGTATACAGTATACTATTTGGACAAAGTAATTGATTTCATACGATACAAAACATTCTACATGTACTTAGCGAAAAACAGAGAATAATCTTTTCAGTGTAAAAAGCAGAAAATTTAGAATCTGACGATGTCTTAATAAGAACACTAAAAATGGCCCGAAGATTTCTGTGCTTATTGCTCTTCAATTGAAGAATGGAGGTAGCCCTAACAATGGAGGGAACAACTTTCCCCTTCGAGGCTCTAAGACGACTATTTGGGAAGGTGGCACCAGAGCGGTCGCATTCGTCCACGGTCCTATGCTACAGAAGACGGGGTACAGGCACAACGGGTAGGTAACGGAGTACCTTTTGGTAAAAGAAAAAGGACATAGCTGCTAGATTTAAGATCAAATTAAAGTGTTTATAATATATACCTCTTTAATTAAATGTAAGATGCAAAGTAGTCTTGAGCTTTCGGTTGCGGATTAAGATATTTTGTGACCTGGACCTATAGCCTTAAAGAATTTTCGTGAGACACTTCCGCCACTCCTATTGTCCAGATTTCATCGTATTAAATATTTTTCTTTGTTGTATATATGTCGTTTTTGACGTCTAGCCTTTATTTTGCTAGTGGACAGACAATCTGGGTCACATTTACTAGAGACAATTACTGAGGTATCAAAAAAATGTGGGCGAAATAGAATAAACAGTTATGTACATTCCAGAATATTCCACGCTGTCGATTGGTTCCAAACATTTCTTGCTGTTGCCGGTGGCTCTCCAGGTAATTCAACGCAAATATTGTTGAGCATAATCCAGAAACAATAGTTTTCACTTCAAAAGGACTAATATTCTGACTATACATAAAAACGTGGAATAACTCTATGAATATGATTTTTCTCATATCTTTAGCCGAAAACATTAACATGGACAGCATGAACTTGTGGCCCATGCTGGAGCTTGGAATAGATTCCGCTAGAACAGAGTTCGTCTATCACTTAGACAATAAATTCCCTCCACTCCAAGGGCATGCCGCTATCAGGTAGTTCATTAATTTTTTTATTACATGAAATCCTATTCGCGCCAAATATGTATTCTGCACAGCACATTATAATTCTAAGAAAACACTGAGTGAAGTGCTTATGACAATATTTAGTGGAGTGTGTTTGTAAGCAACGATCAAATCCCAAATTTGCTGCAGACCCCCTCCTCCCCCGAGTCCGCCACCCCTCCCCGCCCTCACCCCCGAGTCCATGTTTTAAAGGACGCTGGGAACTCACCTCCTCAATATTAGACTCCTAAAACGAAATTCAGGGTGGTCAATGGATTTTCCCAAGCTCCAGATGATCTTATACTGATATAATCCTTTGGCATATGATGAGTTCTTGCCCATGGTACATTTTTAGAGTCGGCGATTACAAGTACATCGAAGGATTCCCTGGCCCGTTCAGTGGCTGGGCCGTACCACCTAAGTTTCAACAGTCCAAAAAGTATTGGATGATGACAGAGACAGCCTTGATGCCTTCCACAAATACATGCAGAAATCAAAAACTTTACCAGGATATTTGGGGCATGCACTGTATAATATAAGGGGTATGTTTTAAAAATAAATTACTAAATATTTCTCTAATTGCTTGTCGGGGCTGTTCCTTCCAGTTAAACGCTTAAGGGTATACTTTACGCGTTTGATTTTTAAGGCCATTTATTCTGTGTGCAGACCTTAAAATAAAATCCCCCAAATTAAAATGACTGACGTCGACAGTTTCTTTTGAAATGTACAGAAAAACTGGCCAGTCATTTAGAACTAAATCACCGAATAAAAAATGGAATAAAAAATCGAATCTAAGTGCAGTGACGGGTTGAACAATGATAAGTGAGCAGGAGAATTTTTTCTCACAAGTAAAATTTGTTTTGGCGGGTGAATCCCGTACAGAACACCTTTATTAAGTGTTACGCAGATTACGTAGATCGTTTTGTTGCATCATTGTATTTTTCTGAATTTCTTTTTCCCCGGTAGATGATCCTACGGAGCACAAAAATTTGGTCCAAACCATGCCCCAAGTTGTGCGAGAGATGAAGATGAAGTTGAAATTGGCACAGCAAGAGATGGTGCCCGCGAATGCCCCACCGGGGGATATCAAAGGAAACCCGAACAATTTTGGGGGAGTTTGGACACCGGGATGGTGCTGATAATGTTGATGTGCTACATGTACAACTATGGAATAGCATCGGTTTAAAATTAATTGACATGATGAAAAATACTTACGAAAAAATTTAAAAAACTTTTTTGTCATTTGATTACATTTGTTTGTTTTAATGTTGGCTATTCTTTCTTCGGACTGAGGAAGTAGCCATGGTGCTAAAGATTTCATTTAGCCATTTATTTCATGCTATTTCATTTCAATATGATTTACGATTAAAGTGATTTCTATGAAGTTACGATTTACTGGTTGTTATTCCCATTTCTATGCTTCGAAAACATCGTATCTCTTATTAGTAAAAGCAAATTAATGTGTATATTACAATGGGTTAGTAAATACAATAAATATATACATAATATATAAAATAAAATATAAAATAATATATATATATATATATATATATATATATATATATATATAAAATAATATATATATATATATATATATATATATATATATATATATAGATAAATACAAGAAACATACCAGAGGCAAGCTGAGTGATGACATTAATTCTATGCAAAAATATACGCTGTTACGAAAAGCGCACATAATTGCCCGAGCACCATCTTTGAATAACTCGAAACAAATTCTGTTGCCCTGGAGAAGGGTTCAAAAAAGTACGACACTGCAAGATATCTTCTTCCATAAATTGAATATAAACCTAGCATTTTGGAATGACGTGATAGGCCTACTATGAAGAATTCATGTTCTGAAATATTGGCAAACACATTTTCACTCTCTAATTATATCGTATTTAGTGACCTATACATATATGAAATAATAATGCGCTTAACATAATAAAAAAAATCAAGTCAAGCACTTTTCTCGAAAAGAGAATAATAATAATAATAATTGGTTATCCACTGTAGTAGAATCAATGAAGTCATGATTACACTGACAGTAATTTAATGGCCACATATAAGCTCTGATTTATATTGACCTACGTTTAAACAAAACATACATTGAGAAAAAGAGAACCCTCGCCCAAGGAGAGAGAGTCCAGAGTGCGATGTTGGACTTCACTTACCATATCCTACTATGTAAATGTAGCATGGGTATATGCAGAATTGTTATCATTTACAACTTAAAAAAGGTTTACCTTTCCCGTGGTGAAGTGACGAAATAATTTCAATGAGATTACCGTCCTACGCTTCCTCTTGTTTCCAACGCACTGGTACAATGTATAATCCAGATTTTCTGGATTCTACTCAGTTCTAGGAGAAGGCGTGTTAATCTGTTTATCTGACCGCATTTAGCGAGAGCAGAGTTGGATCGATCTACGTAGAATGATAGTTTCATTTGGAATGTGCCCCTAAAACCGCCCGGCTTCTGTACGTGTGGCGCGGTCTTTTTGAGATTAAGAGACTAAAATAATATTGTTTTATTAATATTAATACTGTCACCATAAGCCCAGCGGGCAAATTATGTTGTTTTAACGTTGAAACAACGTTGAACCATAACGTTGAAAAGACATTGAATAAACGTTGGATTTGAAAGTTGTGTCAACCTCAAATAACAACGTTGTATCAACGTCAGAAAACAATGTTATATCAACCCCGCCCAGCGGGAAATTTGCCTGGATGTGTTTAGCAGTAGGACATGTTTGATGGCTAAATATATGTAGGGTATAAATGTATGGCCTTTAAGTTAAAAATTCCCAAGGTTTAGATTGCTACATATATATCTTATATATATATTTATATATAACAAGGTCATAGTCACCTCAACCTGTCTATCTATAACAGGTTACCAAGAACTGTTAACTCCATCACATTTACAGCAACTTATTCATCCTAGTGTTAGCTGACCTTGCAAGCAGTTCAGTTTATTGGAATGTATTTCTGAATAACAAGTTAAGAAAATTCACTAGGTACTAAAGACACAAAACAACCGTCACTTTTACTTTTTAAAAAACCATTTTGTTATTATTTTGATAAATTTAGTTACAGTATTGATAAACAAAGTATCACGTTTTCAATAATTAATGTTTTAAATTACAATCCATAACTGCAAGGTTGTGTCATTGACCAAAATACAACGTTGAGTGAACGTGGCTGGATCAACGTTGATTTAACTTTGAATTTAGGTAGATCAACTGCAATTCAACGTATCAACCTGTTTTCAACGTTGATCCAACGCAACTATGCCTGCTGGGAGGCGTCATGTTTATCAATGACAGCAATTTTTAATAATAATAATAATAATAATAATAATAATAATAATAATAATAATAATAATAACTACCAATTAGATAAATAATAATCACTGATTTTATTTTTTAACCAAGCACGTACATGGTGAATCAATACTTGGCCAGTTTTCTGGTGTGCATCGTCATGTACAATTTTTACGTTTATCCTTCATATCATTTATCCAGTCCATTGAGTAACCAAAAGTAGTAGGCAGTTTTGTGTCGTCATCATTTATTGAACAGTGAAATAAAAAGTGCATTTGCTCCGTTGGCCCATCATCACAGAACGGCTTTTCTTCTCTCTCTCTCTCTCTCTCTCTCTCTCTCTCTCTCTGTGTCAGCGTGTGTTTTTATATAACCGTTGGAGTATATATACAGTGTATGTGCTGTTACTTCACGGAGAGGGTTCATACCAGTGATACAGGAGGGAATTATCCCTATTCATTCATAAAAAATAGCATACCCTATACTTGTAGATGTCTTATATAGTTTATACCCAGCGAGCAAATTGTGTTGTTTTAACGTTGAAACAATGTTGAACCATAACGTTGATAATACCTGTACGTTGGATAAACATTGGATTTGAAAGTTGACTCAAAGTTAGATAACAACATTGTATCAACCCCAGTTATTAGACAACATTCTTGCATGAAAAGACATTATTAAAATGACCTGAAATGTTTTTATTTTTGGTACAAAACACAGGTACACAATTATAACGTACACTGTAAAAACATCCAAGTGCCTGCTTTGTCTGATTTTTTCAATGCATTTAAGTCCCAAGCATGTTTTGCACCTAAGCATGGTACAGGTCCCTTTATATATGGCCTTTAAATTAAAATTTCCAAGGTTTAGATTAATATATATAGTATATTCTTATATATATATATAGCAAAGTCACAGTCACCTCAACCTGTCTATCTATAACAGGGTAGCTGAACGCGGTTAACGGGTGGTATGACGTGGTTTTATAACTGAAGCTACTGAATGAATTCAAGTTCGATCGGCTTCATTGCTATTTCGCTGGGAACGTTCCAAGTTACATGAGTTCAAATGTTTATATTTTCAGTTTATTTTGCGCTGAGATAACGTTTGGTTTCACCTTTTACGTTATAGAGCACGATGAGATCCACAGCTGTTCACACCTTGGCGGTTTCAGATTTGAGTAGTCTTCACTCATTCAATGTTGACTGTGGAGTTGCCCCGGGTACTCTATTAACATATGAACAGTCTGTAGAAACGGGGACCCAAGATAGGAAGGGGTGCATAAAAAGACACTACGTACGACTGGTAAAAGCAATAGAGTCGACACAACTTACATTAGAAATAAAACTTTTTTCTCTGATAATCCCACCGAGAAAATAGCCCATTTTGATGAAATTGCAGTATGACAGGCAAGGCCCCATACGGGGTAAGCTATAATAATAATAATAATAATTTATTCGAGCTTAAATGTGACAGTTACATTTGTTAGCCCTCTATACTACAAATATATAAATAAATAAATAGTTATACATCACTATGGATTACTACTAATACAGTGTTTAAGATTATTAATTACAGTGTATACGTTGTTTAAAATACTTATTACAATTGTAAATAGTTCAATACACTGAGGGAACGCACATTTTCTTTGATAGGCTTATAGCTATATGTATCTAATGTGCCATACTTATGGTTCATATAATATATAGCAGGATGAGGCTACTTCAGTGTGGCAGATGCTCATTTCTTTTGGAAATTGCCCTCTGAATGTATTTACCAACAGCGTACAATTCTTTCTCATTTTCTGGGCTTAGTATGATTTTAACCTTCTCGTCACTGCTTGCTAGGTGATGCATGTCACATTTAGGGAATTGTTTTAACATGCCCTCCCTCTCTTTTACATGGTGTCTACATTCTAGTAGGAAGTGCACTTCGTCCTCGATTGCAGGACAGTGGGGACAGAATCGTTCCTCGCGTGGTGTTTTAGGTCTGGTGTAGCGTCCTCTTTCCATTTCCAGAATATGATCACTGACTCTAATTTTAGCCACTTCCCTTTTTAATGACTGAGGGGCATTAGTTAGCAGGTACTTTTCAATTTTGTAGGACTTTTTTATCAGACTATAAGTTTTTAACTTGGTGCTTTGAGGATCAGTTAACTCTTCCCAGAACATTTTTTCAATTTTAGCATTGATTTTTTCCTCAATATTGCAATGTGTTTGGATTTGCTGAACCCCTGGGACATTTTCACCGTGAAGATCCCAAGTTGTTAACATAGTATTAATCGCTGGCCAACCTTTTTCCCCTATTGTCAGTTCTGCATCATGGGTGAGTTTAACTATTCTGTTATTTGGTAGATTTCCAAATCTTTGGCAGTATCGTTGTACCTGTTTAACAATGTTAGAATATAAAGGATAACGACCAAGCTCTGCGCGACTAGCATTGTTGCTATAGCTCAATTCAAGTTAGATCTGTGGCGTAGTTGGAAAAGGATAGAGATCAATGACCATTCCCACGTCAGCACCATTTTAAGGAACTTTAAGCAGAGAGAAAGGACATATTATTGAAGACGCAGACTTTATGCTAATATGTTCTTTTTTTTAATCGATCACTCAATCAAAGGTATATGGTTTTATTGCGCAAAAGGTAATTAACTATTCTGTTATTTGGTAGATTTCCAAATCTTTGGCAGTATCGTTGTACCTGTTTAACAATGTTAGAATATAAAGGATAACGACCAAGCTCTGCGCGACTAGCATTGTTGCTATAGCTCAATTCAAGTTAGATCTGTGGCGTAGTTGGAAAAGGATAGAGATCAATGACCATTCCCACGTCAGCACCATTTTAAGGAACTTAAAGCAGAGAGAAAGGACATATTATTGAAGACGCAGACTTTATGCTAATATGTTCTTTTTTTTTAATCGATCACTCAATCAAAGGTATATGGTTTTATTGCGCAAAAGGTAATTTGCTAGGACCCACGAGAGGGCGCATTCGTTCTGGTGACTGTCCGATCCGATCGAGGGGCAAGGTCGTTGTCGTGATGAGCTGACGTCCC